CCCCCCCCCCCCCCCTTTTTTTGAAAAGAAAAGATTCAATTTTTAAACTTGACTTACTTCTAAAAGTCCTCTACCATTTAGGAATACTTTTTAAATAATGGTCCATGTACTGTTTATGCCACGAGACGGCAGTATAATAAACCGTAAAAAAAGACCACTGGCCACAATGCATTTTCAAAAAATAAATAAATAAATAAATATTGTATTATATTGCAAGGGGAAAAAGTCTAGATATTTATACTTTTGATATTGCTATATTAACTATAGGCTGTTATATGTACACTGGGAAAAAAGCTTTCATGGGCAGCCTACAATATCATGCACTTTCACAACAAAATAAACTTTTTTTTTCTTTACTGAATAATAATAATAATAATAATTAAAAAAACCACTCTTTTTTCTCTTTCTCTGTATCATTGTTTCTACACTGGTGAACTTTTTTATTTATACCAAACAAGGCCATAATCATATCTAGAACATTAGGGGGACTATTGTTTTGAGGAAAATATTAAGACCAGACCACTATGGTAATGGTAAAGGAACTAAATAAATAATACGATTTTTTTGTAAAGTAATCAATCTGAACTGCAAATAATATTTTTATTTTAAAATATGCACCCATTCTATTTGAGTTGTATTCCTAATATGTTGAAAACGCAAGACAGAAAATGCTATTGTCGTCACAATAATTATGAATTACATGAATCACGTAAATGACAGCCCAACTTTCAATTCAAAACGGCGGAATTTGACAAAAGAAAAAAAAAGCGAATACTTGATAATACAGTCGAGCCGACTGTTGCTATAGTAAGTCATTCTTACATTCAACATTAACAGCAAGTCAAAAGGGGTAAGCTTTCAACTGAACTGTATAGCCTTATACATGCATTTTAGACGCTTATATTATGCTCGTGCCCCGTCCATGCAATGAACGCACGTTATTGAATGATGTTTCTTTTCTTTTCATAATAAAAGAAAAATGCTGCAAATTTTCTGGAGTTATTTTATGATTGTTTGGGCAGTCTCAAGCTAAACCTTAAACTTCTCAAAATACAGTTCGCTTCAGATTAGTTTTAATCTATGCACAAAAAATTAACGTAATCTTGATCTAATTCTGATTGGGTGGGCAAGACAGTTATTTGGGTGGGCTCAGCCCACCCCTGCCCATGCCTGGAGCCGGCCCTGATACCAGTTTGTGCAAAGAACGAAACTAATAAATTATATAGCTACAATTAACTTTGCTTGATTATTCTTCTTACTTAGCCTTTCCATTTAATTTGTCATATAAAAATTTATACTAAATAAATCATATTAATACATTTATTGTTAATATTGCAAAAACATATTACTAAATATCACAAATTTATTGGAGTAATATTAACCAGTAACTATGATATTTTGGCGGAATCCACCACGGTTACAAAGCTAGAGATGGATGAGGGTAATTACACACTCAAGATGGCCGACTGTCGCGTCCGTCAGTGTGTAGAAATGTGGTGGGCGGGGCTATTGGCGCTAGTGGCAAAGTTTGGGAATGACAGAAAGGCTATCGAAGATAATCGCGGAGAGGAGCTGGAATGCTACTGCTCTGCGGATTGCAGTAACATTTACACGGTGTTTTCTATAAGCATCCAACTCTAGTGCTTGGATTCAGCAGGATCTAATTAAAGGTACGCAATCCTGAGACATGTCGGAGGACTTGAGCTCCCAACCCTGGTCCATCAACAAGGATGACTATGAGCTGCAGGAGGTGATCGGTGAGTGTGTAACGTTACCTTCTATCATAGCCGGTGAATACATGGCATCGTGTGCCTGTAGACACAAGTTGCATTTAGCTGCAAACGCTGCGTAAAAATAAGCTGGGCTTGTTGCTGTCTAGGGTAACGTTAGGTTGCTGGCTGTTCTGTAAGTATGAAGCTTTAAATGGTGTTACTTGAACCCGGATTTGGGTTTTTAAACAAATTGGCAGTTGTTAAGAACACGTGACATTGGATTTAAACGGTCAAAAAGTCTTAAACGCTAGTGAGTTAAATGGGTGTCTGCAAAAGACTCAAACCTCCACTTCAGTTGTCAAGCCTGTCACGTATGCCAATTTCAAATTCATCTCTCTCTCTCTTTCGCTTTCAATAAGCATATTTAACTGTTTCACCACTTTACTGAAATTCTGAATGTGTCGAGGAAGTTTATTGCCGCTCACGTAAATAGCCAGTGCCATATAGTTTCATGTATAGTTTGCATTTCAGATTGCCACAAAACAGCAAAATTATTCTGCACGCGACAACGCCTCATTCTGCTGATAAGCCTGAGCACGTGCAGTAACGCTCCTTCAGTAATGACGGCCTTGTCTTTTGCTTCTTTAATATATGTGTATGTATATATATATGTGTATATATATATGTGTATATGTATATATATATATATATATGTGTATGTATATGTGTATGTATGTATGTATATGTGTGTATATGTGTATATATGTATGTATATGTGTGTGTGTGTGTATATATATATATATATCACATAAAATGTCACATTAGGCTACAAATGTTAATATTGTTAAATATTATACATAGACATAAACCTATTGGTTGACAACATTGTGCAATCTATAATGCAGGTACTGCCCACTTTTGCTGCTGGTTAAAAAACTGCTTACTGACTAATGCTCAGCGTTAGTTTACATATGACTGTTAAAACATTTCGTGGAGTGAGCATAGTCTGCTTAATTTAGAACCGAGTCAAATGTCAGACCGGTGAGAACCCCCTTTTCATTTTAGGCCTCAAAAACCCTCAGAGTAGGACATATCCTGTCATAAACCAGGCTTCAGTTGTGGCGTGCACGCGCAGACCCTTTACAAACCTCTGTAACATTCCATTCATAGGGGTCTGACTGTACATTATAAACACATACAGGCCTGTGCACATATTTTACTTTTTAAAAATGTATTCAGTTTGCACTAAGAAAAACCCCCCCGCTGTATGTGTATCAAAAGTTTTGAATACTTAAGATGAATTTGTAATGTTTTTTGAAAGAAACATCTATTATAAGTCAGGCTGCATTTGTTTGATCAAAAATACTGTAAAACAGTAATGTTGTGAAATATGATTGCAATTTTAAATAACACATTTTTATTGTAATATTTTAAAATGTATTTTTTTCTGTGCTGGCAGAGTTGAATTTTCAGCATCATTGCTCCAGTCTTCAATGACACGTGATTCTTCAGAAACCATTCTAATATGCTGACTTGATGCTCAGTTATTATCATAAATTATTATGGCCTGCAAATATTAATAATGACTTATGCAGTGTTAAAACGTTACAACAAATAGAAAACAGTTATTTTATATTTGAATAATATTTCAAAATAATACTGTTTTTAATTTGTCAAGCAGGCCTAATTGCAGCCTTGTGAAGCATGAGACTTATTTTTCTTAAAAAAAAATAAAAATCAATTATTCTAAAATGTTGACCAGTAGTGTATATGCATACACACATGCGTAGTCTTAAACACATAGCTCATGCCATTCATTACCTGCAATTTTGTATGATCTTTTTACTTCAGCTAGCAAACAAAATAACTCTGTGTAGACTGGTGGTTAAAGGTTTATTCTGGGGACTGAAAGGTTAAAGAAGGGATGCACTGAAAAAGATATTAAACACAAGGTTCTTCAGAGGGAGTTTTCTGTAATAATAAATGCACCATATGTGGCTTAACAGAGTCCACCACCCCCTTGTGTTGTGGCCATAAAGACTCAGTTATATGCTGTAATTATTTTTGATGATCCATGACTCTGTCCAGAGAGTGAGTTTTACAGCCAGGCAGTATAACGACACTACAGAGGTTCTCCAAATCTGCTTTCTAGGCATGATCTACTCCCATGTGTAACTCTCTTCGTTCTCTGAATGTTTTATTGACTGTATTGTTTTGGTTACTGGTTGGTTTAATCTTGTTACATCGCAGGTTTTTAGAATATTACCTCTCTACGCAGTCACTGGAGTGCTGGAAGAGTCATCTGATACCTGACATATATCTTTCCAGGGCTTTAGACCCCAAACGGAGGTTTTCCACACAGCTTTTTACATGTTCCATGTTTTGACAAGGTTTTTACTAGTTTTCAAAGCTGTAAAGCTCTTGACAGAGTAACTCATAATACAGTCCAAACATTTACCACTTTAGTATATAAGTATTAAATTAGGGTAATTAAATGATGTTAATATGCTCATATAGTTTCATGTTTTTAAAATGCAACATAAAAAAGGTTATTGCTCTTTTTCAACAAATTAGTAAAATTATGATTTTGGCAATTGCTTGCCTTTCTTCGGAAATAGTTCTTTTAAAATGTTTAAAAAATTTGTCATGTTAATTTGTCAAATTTGCCAGCCTAAAAAAAGATACAATGCCGTGAAAAGGTTTTTGCCCCCTTCCTGGTTTTTTATTTTTTGCCACACTTAAAAGATTCAGATCATCAAACAAATTTTAATATTACACAAAGATAACCTGAGTAAATGCAAAATGCAGCTTTGAAATAATGATTTAATTTATTAAGGGAAAAAAAAGCTGTCCATACCTGCCTGGCCCTACGTGAAAAAGTAGTTGCCCCCTAAATGTAATAACTGGTTGTGCCACCCTTTGCAGCAAGTCGTCCAGGTCCTGAAGCTGCAAAGCATCCCCAGACCATCACAATACCACCACCATGTTTGACTGTTGGTATGATCATCTTTTTATGAAATGCTGTGTTGGTTTTATGCCATATGTTTCTTTTTATGAAATGCTGTGTTGGTTTTATGCCAGATGTAACGGGACACACACCTTCCACAAAGTTCAACTTTTGTCTCATCAGTCCACAGAATATTTGCCCAAAAGTCTTGGGGTTTAATCAAGATATTTTTTAGCAAATGTAAGACGATCCTTTGTGTTCTTTTTGGTCAGCAATGGCTTTTGCCTTGGAACTCTCCCATGGATGCCATTTTTGCCCAGTCTCTTTCTTATTGTTGAATCATGAACACTGACATTAATTGAGGCAAGTGAGGCCTGCAGGTCTTTAGATGTTGTTCTGGGTTCTTTTATGACCTCCTGGATGAGTCGTCGTTGCGCTCTTGGAGTAATTTTGGTTGGCTGGCCGCTCCTGGGAAGGTTCACCACTGTTCCAAG